AGAGCAAGGAAGCAACCAGCTGCTCGGAATGGTGACTCTGAAGCAGGGGTACAGAAGTAGCAGAATATTTAGCAAACACCAACTCCTTCCATCTCCTTTTGGGAACCAACCTGCATACAGTCCTTTTCAGAAACCACAAATCAGCCTCACTCTTTCTTACTCTGGCCACCACTGCAGTGTCAAGAGAGGGTTGGCAGGGTGGGTGCAGCTGCGAGGTGGTAGAGTACATTCTACACTATCCGGCACACAAAGTCGCAGTGCCTCACAGGCCCTTCACACTGGTGGCTCCTTCCACATAAGGAATTCTCTGCTGCTGAGATGTTTGTTGATCCGTCAGAGGAATAAAGACTCCTGTCCCTAGCCCCATCCCCACCCAAGGATTGAGGGAATAGCCATCTGTTCCCCCGTGTCCATCACGAATAGCAGAGCAGCTGAAAGCATAAAAGGCTTCCAGAAGCAGGCTCCTACTGTTGGATGTGCCCTGGATGGCCTTGATATAATCCCATCTTGTGACCACAGAATGAGCTCGAGGACCTTGAAATCATGCTCTGCTGTGCAAGTAATATACTTAAGAATTGCTGCTCTATACTCTCTCACCTGCTGTCCCTTCCCCCAACAGACACTCTGTAACACTGAGCTATGACCTTGGTTCTGGGCCCAGTCTGAAAAAGCATGAGCTCAGCTGGGTCCAACATTATGAGTCAATTCTACTTCTAAAGTTTTGTGAGTGATTATTCAGTTCTTCCAAATCTGATTAGGCCAAAAATCCAAAATGTAAAACGTTGAGCAATCTTCAGGCCTGTGCCCTCTAGAACCGTTGGACAAGAATTGCACCCTGAACAAAAGTGTGCATGGAAACCAATGGAGAACAGAGCAAGGAGGCATTTGATGAGCATATGGGGAAAACGATTTATCCTGAGTATGTCTCCTTTGGACTAAGGCAATGAGCAATGGTTGCGATGGCAAGGTCAAAGTGATATGTTAAGCATTGTCACCATTGATGTCAAACCAAAGTAGACACCAAGTTTCAACAAGGCAACTGCTTTCCACGAGAAAATACAGACTAATACTGGCTGCCTGCTTCTATTTCATGGGAAAGTTTCAAGCTCAACAGTATCAACACTACATAGGGGCATTTCACCCAATCACTGGTGTCTTTGCCAACCTTATACTCTCAGGTCTTATGGAATTTGGGCTTCAGACAATAAGATATTTGCACAACATTCACAGGCCAAGGGATTCTTTTTATAGTAAGTGATGTGGGCTGTTAATGATGTGAGCCTATGGGATTTGGGAATCAAACATGCCTACACAAAATTAATTACCCTACCATAACGAGATTGAATGAATGGCAGAGAGTGTTTACTCAGCAAAGGGAGATATAAGCTAAAGATTGGGACCTCTCCATTTTCCATGAGCAATTAGATGACTGGATTTTCAAAGTCAAGAACCCGCTCTGATCGTTTCCTTCCTTGTACAAATGGTATTTATGCACTCAATGGTTATCAAGTCGGGAAAGCTCTGATGTGGGGAACTCAATGAACCTACTAGAGGAAGTTTCCTTCATAGAGTTTTCCCTCTCTCTTTTGCACCCTTTTTTGAAAGACTGTGTTGTCCATGATCTAGGCAGAGAACAACATTCCAAATCTCCCCATGATCCGCCTCTTCTTATAAAAACAAGGCAGAACTTGGATCCAAGAGAATCTGCGAACTGCGTGCTTGAGCCTGGGAACTACCCAGCAGCCAGATAATGAAACGCTTTGCAGCTGCCCTTCTCATGCTCCTGCTGGCTGTGGCTGCCCTAGGCATCCTGGCCCCAGACACCCAAGGTGAGTCCAGTGACATTCTCATGGATGGTCAGGCCTGTGGTCACTCCTGGTCTGGTCCGTGATAGCCCCTACTCAATATGTAGATGTGATTTGCAGCAGCAGGACCCAGGGGGATGCCTCAGTGGTTGCCAGCCCTCACCTGCCTAGAGCACCATTGGGAAATCAAAGTCTGGTGGTGACATGGAACATAGCAGAGTGGGGTCTCTGGACTTCCAAGATTATCCTGGTTCTGGAAGAATACTACTGGATGCACAAAAAGTTTAAAAAAAAAGTAGCAAGTGTTTATTGGAAGAAAGTTTCAGAACAAAAGGGGTATTTCAAGTGAAATGCTCTTAGAAGACTTTTGTCTAGGGCTTTATAGGTAAAGAAGTCTGCTTCCTTTCATGTAATGCTAACTGAGCCACTATTCATTGTCTGTTTCTCCTAGATGCTCCATAATTTCAGGGGCTCTGATTTCTTTAGGTAGGGGATAAGAAAAAGTTTCACATAAGTTCACCCATAACTCTGTTCTGGGCATTCTTTCTCGTATAGATCATTAGGTTTCCTGGCTCCTCGGGTCTTGGGTGAAGCTTAGATCCCGAAAAAGCTACTTTAATGTGTAGAGCAGTACAAGGCTAAAGTGAGGGGTCAAAATAGTGTGAGGGAAAGATGGGTGCTGAGAAAGGGTCTCCCCTAACAACTACCAGGAAGATCCTACAGCAGACAATTGGCAAATCAGTCCAAAGATTTCTCTTTCTTGAGCACACACTGAGGCAAACTTGACAGCTCTGGTCTTGGGTATCCCCAGGAACAAAGGGGCCCAGAAAATGGCTCAAAGGCATAGGAAGTGCTCAGTGCAAGCAGAGGTCCTGTGATTGATCTTTTATGTTCTGCAATCCTGTCCTGCCCCTCACTGTCTAGGGTACCTGGTGAGAGGGAAATAAATAATTACAATAAATAAACAAAAATTTCTGTAGTAGAAGGGCCATATATATATATTTATATATATATAATATATCCTCCCTCCCTCCTTCCCTTTCTTTCCTATCTCCCTCTTCTCTCTCTCTCTCTCTCTCTCTCTCTCTCTCTCTTTCTCTTTCTCTTTCCAAATATAACATATACACAGATGACTAGTTGATCTTAGAGAAGTTAATCTCTCCCTTTGCAACACCCGAATTATTTGATGGCTGCTCCTAGCTGACCTAAGACCATTAGGGTAAATGAAAATAACTAGAGTTATTTGAAATTTTTGACAAAGAAGAAGAGAACTCCACAGTGATAGGAATGAAATTACATCATCTAGTGAAAAATGATCATTTTGTGAAGGAAATACAAGCAGCCATACTAGTGACATCTCCAAGTTCACCTACCTGATATAGCTACTCATCCAGAAACACATACCTAGTACTTACTACTTCAAGCAGAAACTGTTCCTTGAGTCCTCTGGATAAACATATTGGGTCATCCTAGTAACCCTGAATGATAGACTATTCTCAGATAACCTAGTTTCATCTGTTCACCTCATTATTCTCATTTTACAAACAATGAAATTCAGACATTTCAGTCTTATTGATTTCTTCTTTGAGCTCACATAGCTATCTAGTGGGAGAATTAGCACATAACCAAGTTGCGAAGCTGTTACAGGATTTTAAGACCATTAAAATTTTAATTGTACAAGTTCTACCTATACCATAGGTAACTGGAAATGAGAAAGAGGTTTTGTTATTGACTTAGTGCAATGCAGGTCTACATACCTTATCCACCATTTTGATACTAGTGATTACAGGAATATTGACTCTTCAAATTTTAAAAAGAATCTTCACTATGAACCAGTAATTCCAATTCCAACTTATTCCTCCTAGAACTGGAAGCAGATAGGAGACACTGGCACACCATGTTTCTAAGAGCATTAAAATCATCAGTCAAAAGGTGAGAGCAGCCAGAGCAGTCTTGGACAAGTGATTGTGTGTTTGGTATTGAAGTGGTATGTAGACACGCAGTGAACTGCTTCTCAGCTGTCAAAAGGAAAAAATGCTCACATGCTCCACATCACTGAGGTTTCTGGGGTAAGTGACATAAGGCAGTGAGTCAGGGGGACACCCAGGACCATGTCTCCGCCTGAAGCTGAAACTGAGATATATGGTAAAGGGGGGGGTGTGGTCTAGAGCAGAGGGGGCCAACCTGAGACTCACCTGCCTATGGTTGTGGCCCATCTTATCGGTGGGATGTGGGTGCAAGAGAGGATCCTGGGGGTGGTGACTATCTCAAAGGAAGATCTTCTTGGGCCCCAGGTCCCTCGTCATCTATGACCTTCTACACCTGGCCGTCCCTGGTAAGTTCCCATGGACAGGGTGATGTCTAATCACGATTACATCCTTCCTTTCCTGGGAGAGATGACCCAAGCACTGCTTTAGCCCTGTGTGGGTCTACACACACACACACACACAGAAAGAGAGAGAGATACACACACAGCACACACAGAAAAAGAGACAGAAAACACACAGCACACACACAATATGCACACAGACATAGATGGCGTGCACGCGTGCACAGACACACACACACACACACACACAGAGAGAACTTAGCCTCTATCCCAGCTGAGCGGAGAAAGGAGATGCAGACAATTTGTGAAGGAAGATAAAGAAAACATTTCCTTGGAGTCCCTCAGTCTTGGTTTTCCCCAGAACTTTGCAGGAATGAGGCGAAGGACCTGACCCCTTTATGTACAGATTCTCTTCTGAAATGGCCTTTTCTCTTCTGCAGCCTTCAGCGGAGACATCGACTGCTGCTATAGACAGCACTGAAACTTCATCTGCTCGAGAATGAAAGATTATTATAAAACCAGCAGTGAGTGCCCCCACCGGGACATCGTGTAGGTGTTCAATCACAGGCCTTGAACTCTGGGGGCTGGGAGAGTAGACCTGATGGACAGTGTCAGGGAAATTCCCTGAATCTCTCCAGGCTTTAAGGTGGATCCCAGAGGCCCCAAGGGAGGAGAGATTGGGGAAGAGAAGAACCCAGGTGTGAAGCTGACCTAAGAAGGGACAAGAGAGGAGATGCCAGAGAGGCTCTGGGCTCCAGGAACAGAGAAAGGAAGCTGGACTGGGTGGGGAGCCCTGGGAAGGAAAGGGAGGTCTCCAAAGTCCATAGAATTTCCCAGTGTGCAATCTTCCTCTCCTTCCCTCCTAGCTTCATAACTAAGGAAAACAAGAAGACCTGTGCAGACCCTCGAAACAAAAAGGTCCAGTTCTGCATGGAGTCCCTAGTGCCAAGTTACAAATTGACACAGATGTTGGAAGCATTTCGTGCCTAATAAGGGGCTCTGTATTTTCTTCTCTCTTACGTGTTCCACAGTTCCTGCGACTATCTCTGGATAGACTACTTGCTTTTGTTTGATTTGGTGTGGTTGGGGGTTTGTAGGTTCACCCAGTGGTGCCAAGGCTTTTCCTCCAGTCCCTTATCTCAGATATCATTCCTGGCTATGCCCAAGGAACCCTAAGTAGTTTTGGGGGTGCAATCTGCTATGTATAGTGTCAGGAATGAAGTCCCCAACTTAAATCCTAGCTCCACATGGGCCCTGTACACCCTCAAGTCCTCACAGCTACAGCAAAGAATGTTAGCTGTCTGGTGTGTGCTCTAACTCATCGCAACATCGACAGAAATACTAAATAAATGGGGAGTGTCACCATGTTTTCAAGAATATACTCTACCATCACCCTCAAAGAAAATTGTGTACATCACATCAGATTTATGTGTTGTCACTCCTGGGAATATATCCCAGAGAGACAAAAAAGTATCGTCGAAGTGACATCTGCACTTGTTTGTTCATTGCAGCATTGTTCACAATAGCCAGCATCTGGAAAAAACCTGAGTGCCCGAGAACAGATGACTGGTTAAAGAAACTTTGATACATCTACACAATGAAGTACTATGTAGCTGTTAGAGAAGATGAAGTCATGAAATTTACATACAAGTGGTACTACATGGAAAGTATCATGCTAAGTGAAATGAGTCAGAAAGTGAGGGACAGACATTGAAAGATTGCATTCATCCGGGGAATATAAAGTAACAAAATAGGAGACTAACACCCAAAAACAGCTGAAACATATACCAGGAGGTTTACTAGATGGCTTGGAGGCCAGCTGAACATATGAAGGGAAAAGGCAGCTCAGACAGAGAAGGAAGCACCAAATAAAGGGTGTTGGGAGGATCCTCCCAGGATGGGCGATGCATTCTGAAAGTGGACTATAGTCTGAACATGATTGCCACTCAATACAAACTACAGCACCTAAAAGGAGAGAGAGAGAGAGAGAGAGAGAGAGAGAGAGAGAGAAAGAGAGAGAGAGAGAACAAAAGGGAATGCCCTGCCACAGAGGCAGGGTGAGATGCGGCATAGGAGGGATGCTGGGATCATTGGTGGTGGAAAGTGGGCACTGGTGGAGAGATGGGTACACGGTCCTTGTATAACTGAAACCCAAGCACAAAAATTTCTAAGTCTACAACTGTACCTCACGGTGTTTCACTAATAAAATGAAAAAAAAAATAACAGATTTATGTGTGGTTTTTTCATAATAAACCCAGGGAATAAAGGTTTGCCTGCTCAGTTGGGTTCTGGATGTCACAGTTTCCTCTAGCTGCCCTCCCTCCCACCTGACTGAAGGAGTTCTGCACTAAAGACCACTGAACCCCGTAGACGCCAACGTCTCCACACAGCACACCAACAGCCATACAGGGAAACGAGGGATGAGTCCCGTAAAGGAGACAACTCCCAGAACCTGCATCTGGGTCCCGGAGAAGGACAAGGAATCTCAGGAGCATGGTCAGCTGAAAGGAGGGATTACAGCTTCTAGAAAGAGTCAGGACTGGGGGTGGTCCCTCACCTCCCTGATGCTGAGTGTGCAGAACCCACAAGCCAAAGGGAGATGACAGAGGAGGAGTCCTGCCTTCCTGCCAAAACTGCTTTCTGCTGCCAGTGAGGCCACACCACAGAGAATGACCATAGTTCTGTAACATCCAGGACCTCAGCCTTCTGTGAAGACACCAAGAGTGCCTGCAGTGCACTCTAGAGGAGGAGGGGCAGATCTGCAGTTGCATCTCCTTGAATTGGGAGCTGCTCTAGAGGGGTGGATACCTATGATCCCAGGACAGTCCTGACTGAGAGAGGATGCTGATCTGTGTCCTGTCCAGGCCCTCCACAGCTCTTTGGGTTCCTCATAGCTCAATGCTACTGAACACAGGCCCATGAAAGCACTGAATGTGGCTCCCGACCTGAGACTCACTCAGCCAACAAATGGCAACTCCATATTCCAGTAGCCAAAGTAGAAGGTCCTGGGTACCATCATTGTTCTGGCTCTGTTGCCATGAGAGTGTGAGTACAGAGGCAAAGGGTAGTGAGGAGGTGACATGTGGTGCTGGTGACACCTTTTCCCGGGGGTACTTGTGTGGACACCAGATTCTCGGGCCCTGTGCTGGAACTTCCCCTTAGCCCTTCAGTCATCAGTGGCCCCTTAACCTTCCAACAGGACATGGAGAGGCCAGTAATTGTCATTCATGGCCTTGGATTATAGAAAAGTTAAAGAGCATATGGTACAACCAGCAGGACAATCTGTATCTGTGGGCTGAGTATATCAGCAACCTGATGATGCCATCAGACTTTCTGATACCCCAAAATTGCTGCTGTGCTTTTGACTGGATCCCAGTAACTTGAGTCCAAGTTTATCAAGAAATTAAATGCCCAAAAGTTTAATTCGGGAGACACACCCACAAACCACCTCCAGCTCAGCTATACAAGCTCATTTATTGGCCTTATTTCAGCGACCCATACATGCCGAAAGATTTCAAAAGCCACAGTTAGGGTTGACTGCGTAGAGCACTGTAGCAAGCAGGCACGCCATGCAGGGCATAAGCCAATAGTTTGTATCTCTGGAAAAGATGGAAATAAGGGCCATGATCCAGAGACACATGGAGGAATCTCCAAACTGGGAAGCTCTCTGCAGAGATGCCTCTGGACTTTAGGTTGGGCCAGCTTCGTCAGGTGCCTCAGACAGGCATGGGCGTCAGTCACTGCTCCACCTGCCTCCTTAAGAACTCCAGCAGCAGCCAATTTCCAGAACCCAATGAGAAGTGCACGTATGCGTGTTCAGTGACAGCAAACTCCAGGCCTCAAGGGATAGGGGATGGTCTGGTCCTTCTCATCCCCCTGTCTCCATGGGTCCCTAGAGGTCATGCCCACAAACTGCCTCCAGCTACTACTTAATCTCCTTAACAGCCATGATCCAGAGATACACACACAAAAAAATCTCTAAACTGAGCAACTCTTGCAGAGATTTCTCCAGACCCAAACCATCTAACATTTTAGAATGCCAGGAGAGCGCAGTCATGACATCTTATGCTATTCATATCAAGCAACACAAAAGAGAGTTGGGGGAGATTGTCTGCCACAAAGTCAGGGGGATAGGTGGGATGGAAAGTACTGGAGACCTTGGTGGTGGGAGATGTGACCTGGTGGAGGGTTTGGTGATTGATCATTGTATGGTTGAAACTCAAACAGAGAAGCTTTATAACTTTATCGCACGGGGATATAAAAAATAATAATAATAAAATAAAATTAACATTTTGAAAAAAAATACTTGGAATTCTAGAAAAATTCAATCAGCTTAATAAGTGGCTTAATAAATAGCAGTACTCCTGAATGAAAAAAAAAGAAAAGTTAAAGTTGAACTTAATAGCAATTTTATATTTATAGCTATAAAATCATATGCTTTATTTTTCTTTTTTAAATTTTATTGAATCACCATGATATAGGTATAAGCTTTCATGTTTGGGTTACCATCACACAAAGATCAAACACCCATTCCTCCACCAGTGCACATTCCCCACCACCAATATCCCCAGTATACCCCCCCTTTCCCACCCTAACTCCGCCTCGATGGCAGACATGATTCCCCATAATCTCTCTCTACTTTTGGGCATTATGGTTTGCAATACAGACCCTGAGAGGTTATCATGTTTGGTTCTTTATCTACTTTCTGCATACATCTCCCATCCTGACTGATTCCTCCAACCATCTTTTTCTTTGTGATCCCTTCTCTATTCCAGCTACATTCTCCCCTTTGCTCATGAGGCAGGCTTCCAGCTATGGAGCAATCTATCTGTCATGTGTATCTAATGTCCTTAGGTGTCAGCCTCATGTTATGTTGTTTTATACTCCACTAATGAGTGCAGTCCTTCTATGTCTGGGAAAGAATATTCACCCAATACCCATCTGATAAGGGATTAATATCCAGGATATACAAGGCACTAGTAGAATTGTACGAGAAAAAAACCTCCAACCCCATCAAAAAATAGGGAGAAGAAATGAACAGAAGTTTCCACAAAAAAAGAAATACAAATGGCCAAAGGGCACATGAAAAATTGCTCCAGATTGCTAGTCATTAGGGAGATGCAAATCAAAACAACAATGAGATATCATTTCACACCACAGAGACTGGCACACATTCAAAAGAATAAAAGCAACTAGTGCTGGCGTGGGGGGAAAGAGACACTCTTTCACTGTTGGTGGAAATGTTGACTAATACATCCTTTCTGAAAAACAATAGGGAGCATCCTTCTAAAACTAGAAATTGAGCTCCCATATGACCCCACAATACCAATTCTGGAAATATATCCCAAGAATGCAAAAAAGCACAGTAGAAATGACATCTGTACCTATATGTTCCTTGCAGCACTGTTTACAATAGCCAAAATCTGCAAACAACCCAAGTGCACTAGAACAGATGACAGATTAAAGAAACTTTGGTACATCTACATAATGGAATACTATGCAGCTGTCAGGAGAGATGAAGTCATGAACTTTTCTTATAAATGGATAGACATGGAGAGTATCATGCTAAGTGACACGAGTCAGAAAGAGATGGACAGATATATGCTATATTTTTTATTACAAAACCTGGATCCATGGACTCATAAAATGCAAAATAAAACCATGAATCTGAAGGACCAAAAGTTGTTTGAAAAATAATTGTGGACAGTTGTTTGAAAAATAATTGTGGACAAGGACTAGAAATCTGTGGAAGAGCTCAGGCCTAGTACATGCCCAACCTCAATCCCAGATCGACAAACGGCATGTATAATCTCTCTTTATTTTTTTGCTTTTTTAGGGGTCACACCTGGTGATGCCCAGGGGTTGCTCCTGGCTCTGCACTAGGAATTACCCCTGGCAGTGCTCAGGGGACCATATTGGATGCTAAGAATGAAACCCGGGTTGGCCGCATTCAAAGCAAGCACCCTACCCCCTGTGCTATTGCTCTAGCC